TCTTTTGTGGAGCTTTTTTAAGCCAAACAAAAATAAAACTAGCTTAGGCTCTGAAATCTTTAGCAAATAACTTTCCTTTGAAATTTTTTAAATAGAAGAAACCAGTCAAGCAACAAGTTCAATGCATTTTGACTCTCTCTCCCCCAAACCCACATTGACTTGCACCTTGTTCAAAGTTCAAACCCCAAGGCTTCTAAAACCCATAACCCAAAAAGAAAAGAAAAAGTTTGTGTATTCCATTGCCATGTGCCGTGCTCTAAGAAAAAACCAGATGATGATCCTTAGAAGAAGGCTAGCTTGCATGTCTCTCCTCCTGCTTATGCTGCTACAGTTTCAGACTCGTTGTTCTGCAGGTTTGTACGATGAACTCGACCGATTCAAACCCATTTCAGGCGCTGGGTTAAGCCCTAAAGTAGGCGAGTTGGAAGGATCAAACACAGGCGAAGATGGTGATGACATTTTTGGTGCTGAAAAGAGGAAAGTTTATACTGGCCCTAATCCTCTACACAATAGATAAGCTACTGCCAGGAGATCAAAAGTACCAAAACCTTGATCTTCTTTGTCTTCTCTACTTTCATTTTACTTTCTTTGTGAGAGCATTTTTCGAGGCTTGAGGCTTTGCAGGCACTGTTAATTTAACTGTTAGCAGGTCAGTGTATCAAGTGATTCTACAGATGTATATGAAAAACAGCTTTGAGTTTTTCTTCTTTTTTTTCTGGTGAAGAAATATACTTTATATTTATTTGTTGAAGTCTTGATGATGACTGCGAGTACAGGGTTGTATATGAGACTAGTAAGATCACGAGTTACTCAACTTTAATTTAATTAAAGTTTGATCAACATGAAAATCAAATAGACTTAATCCAAGCTCAAGTTCAACTCTAATTTTTAACGAGAAGAAGTGATCCTCCATATGTATATGAACAAAAGCTTTGAGTTGTTTTTTTCCCCTGGTAGTATACTTTATATTTATTTGTTGAAGTGTTAAGATGGCTAGTGAGCAGCATATAGGGAATAGAATATTTTATGGATGGTTAATATGAAACATTGATCTTGTCATTAATGGGGTTGTTGATGTTATTAATGGCACCATGCTTTTTCTCCGTTAGGTCGGTCTGCTCTCTAGGCATGTTATACGCTGCACTCTCTTTGTTGAATAGTGTGGGTTTTCCAAATTTGGCAGGCATGATATTAAGCCCCAACCAGTTCTTTAAATTGTTATCCGCTATTCAAATAATAATTACTGTATCACCGTGATACTTACAATAACATTAATATTTAATAGTATCCGTTATGTCCATAAAAACGATAAACACAACATATCTAAAATACAATCTTAATTTAAATTTCTTAGCAACATCCTTTGCGACATTCATTCATGAAGACTGATTTAGGCAGTGCAATAGTACAATTATAGTATTGAGTTCATAAAGTAAGATCAAATATTTTAATTATAATTGTGATTGTGTTTATTATGGTTACATACATAATAAATGTTATTGTAAGTATCATAATCATGGATTTTTTTAAACATATACAACTTATTATAAAATATAATAATTAATTCATTATCTATCAAATTACTACTACAATCCACCATTATTAATATGATTTCGTGTGTGAGACAGAGGGGGCCATGTATTGATCTTAATTTGTGGGCCATGAATGATTATGGTCCCACTGTGTGTTTGACAGTGATTTTGTTTTGCCAGCCACAAACTCCACTCTCTCTCACTCTTCTTCCTCATAGTTTTTTCACCATCTCAACGAGTATGCTTTTGGGAGAAAAAAAAACACTCGGTCAAACTTTATATTTGTGGGATGAATAAAACTTGATTCGAATTAATTTGAAAAAAATAATTTCTTACATTCAACTTGACTTAAAAAAATCAACAAACATAACTTCGAACCATAATATCTTAAACTCGACTCGAAATAATCATGTACATATATTTTATTTCGCTGTAGTGATTTTGGGAAAACTGATCAAGAGACCGTTAAGGGATGTTGACCGGAAAAAGTGTAATGATGAACAAAAAAAGTAAAAGGAAAAACATAATGAGAACTTTTAGTTCACCAAACAAAAAAAAATAAGAAAGTAAAATAAGAAAGTTGATTAGATTTTACCTTCATACGTCCAATGCTAAAAATGCTCGAGCTTAATCATTTAGAATTATTCACAAAAGTTTTAATATTTTGAAATAACTCTAAATTTATTTTAACAAAAGTTTAACATTTTATTCAATTAAATATATATACTATTTCTAAATATATTTAAATATAAATATAAAATTTTAGAATTATTAAATTTTAATATCATGTAAAAATTAACAGAATTATTGACATAACATTTTTACTTTTTAATATGGATAAATTAATTATAATTGGCGAAACTCCTTATAAATCAATCTTTTCTTATCTTCAAGATAATAAAATCAAATTAATATTAAAAAATATTTCAAATATATACTACTTATAATCGTTTCCAATTATTAAAAAAGTTAAATAAAATATTCACACGATATTTGGCTTGGGAGCCAAAAAAATCATATAAACTTTTTATTCATATTCTAATTAATATATGAAGATCATATGATTTATATATCATATGTCATTCAAGTGTCATGTAAACGTATTAAAGAAATTAAAATATGATTATTAAAAAGGAGAGAGTTAGGGCCTTAGGGGAATGATTTCGTTAAGACAAACATGATTGTGTCTCACATCTTTAAACAAAACAAATGCAGCAATCATGAGGCATACTAAAAAATTTATATATTTATTTAATTAATTAATTTAATTTTATATTAATCTTTTTTATTTAATAAAAAATTATGTATCACATTTTAATGGTTTACTATCTTTTAACATGAAGAAAGAAATATTTTTAATTTTTATATAATATTAAATAATAAAAGAATATTATCAATAATAATGAATATTTTTTGAATGAGTAAGGAAATAGTCTGTCCTAATTTGGACGAACAATAATATTGACTTGGTGATGAGCAAGATCTTTCTAAAGTAAATTCTCTAAGGAGTGAGATGGACGAGTGCTTGTATTCAGTAATGAATTTAGAAATATTTTTTAGAATAGACATACACATATAATTATTGAAATTTTTCATATGAGGTAGACACAAATAAAATTTCATAGTGGACACTCATATTAAATTAAACAATTAATATAAAGAAATTTGAATTTCAAGATAAACACGTACCCACCCTGAATATACTTTACGTCCGCCACTGCTCGTATCCCTAGTTCCCACCCCCAGAAACAAATTAGAATTATTTAAGATTAAACAAAATTTCTTTCTCTGTTGCAGTTAAAGTCTATATCTGCATTTTATTTTCATCAAGGATAGTGGTGGTGGCTTTGCCCGGCCAATCCCCTATCATTTTTATCCATTTTTTAAAATTTTTAAATCGATAATTGTTCAATTTTATTAGTTTTCAATTATATTTATTGTATTTATAATAATGTTTTCGTTTAATATTTTTCTTGTAAAGGAAATCATGACTATCGGTGCATTCGAATTTTCGATGTAGGTTTCTTCTATTGATCTTCTTCTTTGTATGCGATTCTACAGGTTTCCTTGGTTAGTTGTTTTCCTGATGCTTGATTTCTTCGTTTATTTGTATATGACGTTAGCTTTCGAATATATGTGTCGGATGAGACTACGGTTATGGAGAGATTGATTTTTCATTCATCCATTTTAAATACTCTCCAGATTCTCCTCCTTTATGTCTGGTGCTCGGGGACGTCGAACTGTTCCGTCTCTATATGTCATTGTCTCAACTGTTTACGTTCTTACGCATTAGATTGTCACTAGTCGTTCACTGTTTTATCTTATTTATGATTGTCTTGAATGTATATATGATATCATTCTACATGATGCCCTTTATGACTAATGCAATCTACATGTCTATTTTAAAAAGAAATAAGTACTAAATTATAAAAGATCTAAAAGATTTAATATGTAATTCACATTTTTTAAGACATGCAATTTATTGATCTGATCAAAATATCATATATCTATTTCTATTAATTTGTAATTTTTAAATATAAATAACGTTTTAAAATAAAAACGAGCAGTTTTTATTAACATAAACACTATTAAAAACGTGACCATCTGGATTACTCGCAATGCTCAGGTTTTCAAACAGCATATTTTTGATGGCTCGATTTGTCGAGCGTAGCAAGCGGTTGGTAGAGACCTCTTTACGAGCGGTGGCGTTAAACAAGATGGAACCGACCAGAGCTGTTATAAAACATCGTACTGCAGTTCCTTGGATCCCACCTATGCCGAGTTGGATTAAAATCAATGCGGAGGGCTGGCTCGTGATAGCGTCGGGGAATGGCAGTTTGGGTTCCACAGATTTCTTGGAATTTGTTCGAGCTTGGATGCGGAAATTTGGGGGGCTTTCTTAGGCAACAATTATGCATGGGAGAAGGGGTTTCGGAAGGTGATTCTTGAGTTAGATAGTATGGAGGCGATCCGGATTTTACAAGATGATTATAAGGGAAGCACGTCGATGATCTTCGGCAGCGGGATTAGGATCGTAAAGTCACACATGTTCGTCGGAAAGGAAACAAAGTAGCGGACGCTTTAACCAAAAGCGCGAATCCAGATAGCACGGAGGTTGTTTTCTATGATATGCCGCCCGTGGGGCTGCACTCGTTATTGGATGGAGACTTAATTTTCGGTTAGTTGTATTTTATATTAATTTGGATACTATTTTCCTCCATTTAGATTAAGAAGGTTTTTAACGAGGCCTGATCTAATCTGATCTGATTCATGATTCATTATTCCATCAATGAAATCATATCTTTTAAAAGAAAAAATTAAATCATTACAAGGGGGTGGGGTTGGAAATTATATTAAGCCTTAGATAATATTTGAAGTTGTGAAGAGTAAACTAATAGGACTCTCCTCTATCATTACATTAAGATTTTTTTTAAAGATTGCTATCACCACCACCACACATACAAACAAATAAAAATCAAAAGAGGAAGAGGCCAAGGCCACAAACCAAAGGCCACTCTTCTGCGTCGCCGTCGGTCTCCTTTTTCTCCCGGAGAAGATGCTTCTTGCCTTCAAACCGCCATCGGCATACCTCTCCCCATTTTCTTCTCCTCAAGCACCTCCATCAACTCATTCTTGGCCCCTCCATCACTGCGACCATACCTATAACCCCAGCCATTTTTCTTCTTCTCTTCCTCTTTCTCTTACTCCAACCCTTGCCCATTCCAAGCGCCCCAGAAAGTTCGGTGTTTCATATCGGTATTCCGGCAGCGAAGACGACGAGAATTATAGCTTCGACGAGGCAGTTTCCCTTTTCAAGCAAAGGGAATACTACAAGTGCCATGACCTACTCGAGGCACTATGGAACAAAGCCGAGGAGCCTACTAGAACACTCATTCATGGCATCCTACAATGTGCCGTCGGATTCCACCACCTTTTTAACCAGGTTGGACTTGGAACTGAATTCCCATTATTAACATGCTTGCCTTCTTCTGATATCTTCCCATTATGCAGAACCATAGGGGAGCCATGATGCAGTTGGGTGAGGGGCTGTGTAAGCTTAGAAAGATGAATTTCGACGGTGGACCGTTCTATGACTTTGAGCAAGATATTGCTGCGGTTCTCAACTTCATTTACAATACTCAAATTGAGTTGGCTGCCTGTGAGTTACTTGTTTCTATTAAATATGATTTTCTTTACATGTATAATACTAAAATTAGCTCCTAAGGTTTTCTGAATGAACATTTTGATTTTGATTTTGAGTATTTTAATTTTAACGTTTTTATTTTTGGTCAAAATAATCTACATTGGATGAAAAATCACTAATTGACTAACGAATCGACACATGTTGTTGACGTGACATTTTAACATGTATTGAATTGTTGACAATATCACATGCCATATCAACCAAGGTGATACGTGGCATGTGACACATTACACAAGGTGATGACGTGATCGTCTCTTGTCATCCAATATGATGACGTGGTATGTAACATGTTATCAATTAAGCATATGTGAAAATATCACATCAACAACATCCGTTGACCGTTATTCAATTAACGTTTTCCATTCAACCTGGGCCATTTTGACCAAAAATGGAATGTTAAAGTTAAAATGTTGGAAAAAACATGAACTAAAATAATCATTCTAATAAACATCGAGGACTATTTTTTACATTATGCCTCCTTTATATATGACTTGAAAATGGAACTTCATTTTTGTGATAGTCGTTTCCCTTAATTTGACACAATGATTTACTACAAACATTTGGCACGCCAGGTGGTGATGATCTGTGTGTGACAATGGAGCAGTCGGAGAGGTCATATCTTCTCCTCGGGGGCTATGCCGCCGGCCAGCATGTTTATCATCTGCAAACAGATTCAAATGAAGATGTGTATATAGTGTATTGCCCTCAAAGACCCGATGGATCCGCTCAGGCATCCGGTCCAACTCCAAGGGTAAGGCTTCCGGTTCTTAAAGCTGCAGAGGGCCAGCATTTGGTCTGTGAATAAAGTCACTGCAGGAACCAATGTATTATACAGTAAATAATCCATTTCTATTCCTTCAAAAGATTAAGGCCAATAGCCTGATATAAAGTGTGTGATCAAAATGAAGCTTTTTCATTGTGGATGATAGGGATGTGCATTATCATCAGATATCGGATATCTGAAAATTCGGATAACCGAAATTGCAGATTGGATATCCAAATATCCGGATCCGAATCCGATTTTTTTTGGCAAAAAATCCAAAAAAATAACATAAATTAAAATATTCATATTTACTTGTTTTCCAACAATTTGTTTATGTAATTACATGCTCCACTACAATTAAAATTTTAAATAACATAGTACAATAAAATAGTCACCTAAACGTTAAATAGCATAAAGTAGTGTACATTAACAACACAATAAACTAACACAAGATGTTCAAAACAAAAATATTACATAAGAGTATCAAGTCTCAAACCAACACTATATGTTCAAATTAAAAATACCACACAATAGTATCAAATCTCAACAACACAATAAAAACAACTCAAGATGTTCAAAATAAAATACCACACAAGAGTATCAAGTCTTAACAACATAATAAAAGAGATAGTAGGATCACTAAGTACTTCAAAATTTCAAAGTAAAAATTTTACAAATCATCCAAAGTATTAATTGTCTCGTCAATTATGATATCTGGTTGCTCTAAAGTTAGATCCTTCATGGCTACATCACATGAATTAAAATAAAAAAAGATTAAAATATATATTTATGTTTAAACTTTAAATATTGAATAAACAAAAAAAACAATCAAAAGTAAAAATAAACTTACCTTCCTCCGACTCTTTCAAGGCAATTAAACTTTCCTATATTATAATAGGTGAACGAGAGGTGCGTAACCAATCTTGAGTGCAAACAAGTGCTTCAACCATTTTTGGACTCAATGAAGTGCGAAAAGAATCAAGGATACGACCCCCTGTACTAAAAGCCGATTAAGAAGCTACAGTTGAGATATGTATGACAAGCACATCTTTAGTCATCCTATGAAGAATCGAGTATCTTTTTGGTTGATCTTTCCACCATTGTAGGATATCAAAATTTCAAACATGAGACTCACAAACATCTTCTAAATACTTCTGCAACTCAATTTTTTTGCACTAGTTAACAAACAACCCATATCCCTTTGAAATTTTGAAGCCATAAGTTGTTGAAGATCAATCTTACCTCCACTTTGAGTCCCACTTTGAGTGAAATTAGATAAAGAAGTAGAAGTGGAGGAAGACATATCACTTGTCTTTAAAGGAGGCATTGAAGAAGCATATGATTCAAATAAATATTGCAAAACCATCTTAATTTTAAGGCACAAAAGAGTGGCTTGTGTTTCATCATAAGAATCATGCACAATCCAATTAACATAATTCAACTTGCCTAGGGTCAAGGATCACAACCACAAACATCATAATATTGATATTATCAATGTTCCCATAATACTTTTCATATTTAGACATCATTTAAGCTGCTATTTTCTTAATACCCTCATCATCATCACTTATGTTGGAAATCATTAATCTAGTCCCATAAATCTCGTGTGCATCATGGTTACAGGTCACATAACGAGAACCAGATAACCACAATGTTGCATCATAAAAAATGCTCAAAAAATTAAAAAACTACTCACCCTCTTCCAATTATTTTCAATGGGACCACCACCAACCTTTCTAAGTTCCTTGAAACAAAAGGAGTCTTTCATGTATAAACTAGAAAATGCCTTTTTAAACTTGATAGTAGATTCGAGCATTAGGAAAGTTGAATTCCATCTAGTCTCAACATCTAAAGTAACAAGACTTTTGTATCCTCTTTCTTCTCTTCTATGCAAGTTTTAAATTTTTGAAGTCTAGCGGGAGAAGATCTAACATATATCACAAGAGTTCAAACTTTCATAATGGACAAATCAAGTTATTTCAAACCCTCTTTCACAATCAAATTCAAAATACGGGACGCACGTCTCATATGTAAATATCGACCTTCCAATAAACTAGACTCCCAAATGGTAAGTCTTTTTCTCAAGTATTCAATTGCTAAATCATTTGAGCTAGCATTGTCTACAATTACAGTCATAATATTTTTCAAACCCCATTCAATCAAACATTTTTCAAACCCCATTCAATCAAACATTTTTCAACAGTTCTTCCAATAAGTTATCCGGAATGACCAATAATTGGACAAAAATTAATTATCCTCTTATGTAAATTCCATTCATCATCAATAAAATGGGATGTCGAACACATATAGCTTAAATTTTGACCCGATGTCCAAGTGTCAGTGGTTAGACAAACCCTAGAATGTAAGTTCTGAAAAGTCTTTTTCAACTCATTTCTTTGTTCAATGAAAATAACATAACAATCTCTAGTGGTAGTTGTACGAGAAGGAAGCTTAAAGAGAAGATTTAAAGCCTTGCAAAATTCAATGAAACCTTCATGTTCGACAAAAGCAAATGGAAATTCATCCACAATAAGCATTTTAGCAAGCTTCTTCCTACACAAATCATGATCAAATTTCCAACATTTTGGAACACTAACTATTTCAGTAATTCCATCTTCATTTACCAACGTTTCACTTTCAAAATCAATCAATTTTTGTTTCTTATCCAAATTTAGAAGATATTTTTTGCACCTACTAATGTGATTTGCTAAAGGTGTAGTGCCATTTTTGTTTTTACAACCAATAAGTTTTTGACAATACTTACAGGAAACAAAAGTGAGATCCTCCTCATCAACTGAAAAATGACTCCACCACTTGGACTTTCTATTCTTATTTCTGATATTTTTAACGACAAAAGATTTTTTTGCTGCTGAATTTTGTCTTCCCTTCTCATCAGCCTCCATCATCGAGTTAACAAATACGAAATTAACATCTCCATTCTCAGCGAAAGATGACATTCTGTAAATAAGCAATAAAATATGTCTAAATCAAAAAATCAAAAAATATATGCATTATATATGTATTACAGAATATAATTATATATTACAAAATATATGCATTATATTTCAATTTTTATATATTAAATCAAAAAATCTGGTTAGTTATTTCACCTCAAAAAGGTTAAAGAAAGTATGGTTACGGTGCATTCAACTTTAAATTAGTTCTTTCACCTCTAATTCTATATTACAAATTATATGTATTACATTTCAATTTTTATATAATAAATCAAAAAATTTGATTAGTTATTTTACCTTTAATTCTATGTTACAAAATATTTAACAGTGGTTACGATGCATTACAGAATATATTAAAACAACCCAAATGTGTATAGCTTCATTACCAACTTTTAATTCGGTTAGTTATTTTATCAAACATTTTATGTGCAACAAAAACCCATAAACTAATATAGCCAAACTAGGACGAGAAGGAGTTTCAAGAACCTACATAATGGATGCACCAATAGGAACTATATATAACCTCTGGATAGAGTAAAAGGTGATAGAGTAATTTAGTGTACTAGATTAGTTTGTTTCGATATTTACCCAAAAAAATATAGTCCTTACATGATATTGAAATGGAGATTGGTTAGGGTTTTGGCTCATCATCTTCAAACGTTGAGAGAGAGAATCGACCACTGTTTACTGGAGTCTAAAAGAATGATTCATGAATATAAACATTGAGCAGTAAATTGAAACCCAATAATAGAAATTTGAGTGTGATGGTGAATTTTGTGGGAGATGGGTTTGACACTTTGGCTATTTGGGTGTGAAATTGTGAAATGTGAGATGAGAGTGAGAACGACAACACTACACGATAGAAGAGAATAGTAGAAATTATTAACTTAAAATTAGAATAAAATTTTAGGGGTGTTGGGGTGGCCTAGTGGGATGACTATAATTGTTGGGTTATTTGAGGGCTCAATTTTAGAAATTATTAATTTAAGGGCCTACATTTTTATCGGGTTTTCGGATAATCCGATCACAAATTTTTATCGATCCATATCCAATCCGATAATCTGAAATTTTTCGGATACCCGATCCAAACTATCTAAAAATTAAAAAACGGATCGAATATCCGAATTTTTGGAACGGTTGGTCGGATCAAATTTTTTTACACACCCCTAGTGGATAAACAAAATTTGATGGCTAAAGCATTAAAGATTCAACTATATTGGCAAAATTATTAACAAGTTCTTCGCTTTCCCACCATTCTCACTTGAAGCAAATATCTTGTACTTTGTTGTACAAACAAACATTAAAGGAAAACGGAACACGAACTAAGTGACTTTGGTGGTAAAATAATTGTTGTTATTCTTTAAGGACTTGAGTTCGAGTACCATAGATGTCAGGGGTGTGAGCATTCAATGTCGAAAGATTGAGAACAAATATTTCCTTGTACTTATCCCAGATTAATAAAAAATGTAGAAATCGGTTGTAACGTAAAATTTATTAAGAGTGTAATCTTTTGGAGCAATTTGGGTAATATTTTAAGTTAAAACTAGAAATATTATGTTTTCCATAACAATTCGTGTCATTGTATAACTATTTTGATTGTAGCCTAAAATGTTACTATCAATATATTCTCAGTTGTAACCAAAATTATTACTTATTGTGTAACTTTTTAGGATAGACAAATAATATTTTAGGTACAAATCCATCTTAATATAACATTTTTTATTGTAACCGAAATTATTATTAATTGTGTAACTAAAAATTAAACAAAATAACATTTTAAATTAAAATTCCCTGTAAATCAACATTAGGTTAAGTCGCCATACAGTAAAATCATCCCATATTCAAGTCCACAGCAATTCAAAACCTTATATTCTTAATAAATAAAAACCTTATATTCAGAATTAACTTTAATCTAATTAATCTAATCTAATCTAATTGAAATGTAACCAATTCGATTAATTTCTTTTTACGGATCTAATTTAATCAAAATGAAACTAATTCGATTAATTTATTTTTTGGAATCAAAAGTACAAATTGGGAAGGAAAATTATTTTATTAGCGTTTAAAATAACAAAAAAGAAAAAAAAAAAAAGGGGAAATGAATGTACAAATAAATAAATTATGGAAAATAAAGAGAGGAAGATGGAGCCCATCTGTCCCATACATTGAACCTGTAAAGGTTTTTAATATAAAAATATACAAAAAGCCGAAAACCCTCACATATAAAATGCTTTGGCAAGCCCACTTGTAACAAGTTTTCTTTCAGTTTTCGTCTTAGGTGCATGCTAGTTTCAGGTCGTGCAGATTGTTCATTAGTCTAACTCCTGGATTATTGCCCAAATTTCAGGAAAGTTTTTTTTTTCTTTCTTTTTGCTTTTGGATTTCTGGGTGGTGGATACTTTTGCAGATTGTTCACATATTTATTCTGGTTCTCTTTTTATTCTACTTTTCTGGTGACTTTGAAAGTAGATTTTTGTTGGGTTATATATTTTTTTCTCTGAAATATGTACTTCCTGATATATGTTAATAGATGCTTGTTTAGCTTAGCTTGGTAATTTGGGATTTTCTGATTGATTTATTTGGTAGCTGGAAATGTGTTGAGAGAGGAGACAAGAACATTGTGGTATGTTTGATTGTGGTTGATTCAATGCTTGAATAATATTTATAGATTAGGCTTCTGGGGAAAATAATTTGATGTGGATGACATGAAATTGTTTGTTTGAAATAAGAAATGGAAGACAATTTATCCCAAAAAGGAATGACATCTGCTGGGATTTCTTTTGGATGCCTTGACTTGCAAGGATCCATGAGAGTTCATCATCCTGTGCAACACCCACATGATATGCATCAACATCATTACTCTAATCCTCGCAAAGGCTCTTCTGCCCGTCCTTCTATTCGTGGGAGTTTTCCGCTCACGATGAGGGCATCGCAAAACTCTGATCAAGCCATTTCAATGACAAATTACAACAGGATGGAAAGAGGCAAAAGTTCTTTGAGTGATGAGGATGAACCGAGGTTTACAGAAGAGTGTGTTGATGGTCATAATGATGGAACTAAAGGCAAGAAAGGATCTCCATGGCAGCGTGTAAAGTGGACCGATAAAATGGTGAGGCTTCTAATTACAGCAGTGTCTTATATCGGAGAGGATGCAACGGGAGACTGTGGTAGTGGTATGAGTAGGAGATTTACAGTTTTACAGAAGAAGGGTAAATGGAAATCAGTTTCGAAAGTCATGGCTGAGAGAGGCTATCATGTTTCTCCTCAACAGTGTGAGGATAAGTTCAATGACTTGAACAAAAGGTATAAAAAGCTAAATGATATGCTTGGTAGGGGCACTTCTTGTCAGGTTGTAGAGAATCCAACACTTTTGGATTTTATAAATTACTTAACAGAGAAAGAAAAAGATGATGTTAGGAAAATTTTAAGCTCAAAGCATCTTTTCTACGAGGAGATGTGTTCTCATCACAATGGGAATAGATTGCATCTGCCTCATGATCTACAATTACAACGTTCCTTGCAATTGGCTCTGAAAAGTAGAGATGATAACGAGCATGATGATGCAATGAGGCACCAAAATGACTATCTTGATGATGATGACCATGACATGGAAACTGATGATCATGATGAGCTTGAGGAGAATCATGCTTCACATGGGGATAACAGGGTGGTATGTGGGGCATCAGGGATCTCTACTAAGAGATCAAGACAAAGCCAAGTCCATGAAGGTGCTTGTGTCCAGAACCTTTTGAACTCCCAGCACTGCCACAACAATTCTTTTTCTTATCCATCTGTCACTCAAGCAAATGCGAACCAAGCTCTACTTGATTATTCAAGAGATGCTTGGATGCAGAAGCAGTGGATTGAGTCTCGCACACTTCAGCTAGAAGAAAAGAAACTGCGAATTCAGGTGGAGCTGCTAGAATTGGAGAAACAACGTTTCAAGTGGCAGAGATTTAGTAAGAGAAGGGACCGTGAACTGGACAACATGAGAATGGAAAATGAGAGGATGAAGCTTGAGAATGAACGAATGACACTAGAGTTGAAGCGAAAAGAGTTGTCTGCCGATTAAAGCCATGTATTTTAAACTTTTTTTTTTCTTCTAAAGCTTCAGGCCTTTATGCAATTTATTTTTGTTCCTGGTAAGCTGCTATTGATTTTTCCATGGAGTATCACATATAGGGTGGGCAAACTAAGTTGAAATTTGTGATGTTGCCTGTTTTTGTGGTGTAAACATTGGCAGTGACAATTACAGTCTCTGCTTCTTGTTGTTTTGCCTTTTGTAAAATGGTATTGTGGCTTCTAGAACTCTTTTGTTATTACTTATTATCGTGTACCATTACATAAAACATGCTTTTTCTTTATATATATATATATCATGATAACACTGAGGTGTGTGCTTTTGTTCAATTTGTCGTTTAAACTCTCTTGCCTAAGGCTGTCAAGTGTGTTTAGACTTTGGTTCCCTTAGATGTTCCTGCATTATATAAGATGGAGGTGTTGTTAATGAATTTACATGTTAGTCATGTTCTAATGTAGGGTGCCTTAGATTGGTACTCATACGAATATCTAGTGAATTTGATTTTAAGGGTTTTTTGTCCCATACATTATGGCTCGACTCTCACGCTTTCCCTTTATCTAAATGGTTGTTTTCTTTTCTTCTACTTGTTTAGAGATGTTGTCCTATATATAATGGGTCTGTCCCACTCTCTGTTCTGCTGTAAACTAAAACCAGTAATTATGTCGTCTTCTCAAGCTTGAAGATTGACAGTGGCCTAGATTTTTCAAGCTTAAACCATAGGCATTACTTCATAAAATCCCTCCACTCTCGGTCCACAAACATTTTTGAAAAATCTCTCTACAAGAATAACGGATCCAAAAAAAAAAGGATAATCACCTTGAAACGTCTTCTCATAGTGGACCCCTTAACCCTAGCTAGCTTCATGGAAGGTAACATCAATGTCGGACCTTACTTTCAAGAGAGCCAAAGTCTCCTACCTAATCCATCGGTTGCCTCCGACCGCTCATGTTCACCTGAATTGTTACTATTATTGCCGTTGGAACCAAATGTGTTTCCTGCACCGGCAGCTTCATTGCTTTCATTACCACCTCTGCTGCTGCTAACGGTATCTGCACCAGCAGTTACGGCAGCTGAAGCATCACCTCCAGTTCCTCCGCCTCCTCTGCTTCCGAGAACACTAGAACTTGTGTCACCACCACCCACCACATATGCCAATTATTTCATATGTTCCAACGCTTATATTATTGTCAGACTAATTAATATTCTAAAAGTAGTTGCATAAAAGAGAAGCATGTCTCTTCACAATCAGTGCCAAGTCTTTATGAAAATCTTAGAGTAATCAATCCATTTAATATTTAAACTATCAGTTTTGATCTGTTAATATCTAAAATTTTAATTTTTTCAAATCATAGTTAATATTTATTTTTTATTTCATTTTAATACTTTACAGTTAAAAATTTAACGTTTTTTATTTGTAAATTACATCATTTATTCTTTATCACTCCTATTTTGATCATTAAAATTTAAAAAATTTCAATTTAAATTCTTAACTTTAAAATTACTTAATCCTCTAATTTATATTATTAATAAATATTTGGTGACATGATATTTTTATTTTATTTTATTTTATTAATATATAATGAAATAAAAAAAATGACGCACGTTTTCGAAATTCTCTGAGTGCACGTTAAGCAGGTCTAATGGGTGCTGAGTTTTTCGCCGTCGATCTCGTTTCTCTGCTAGGTTTTCTCCGATTGTTTTTGTTCTTGTTCTTGATTGGGGATTTTGGGTTTTGTTCTCATGAATGTCTCCTCAAAGCTTGATTGGAAGAAGTTGTTTGTGGGGGCGGAGGAGCAGACTCTTGATTATTTTCCTCCAGCGATTTGAGAGGGGGTTTTGACTGTCCAGTCACCACAAGTGGTGTTTGATGAGGGTATAGCTGAGTGGAGGTATGCTGTGGTGGGGAAATTTTTTGGTTCGGCTCCAAAATTCGGATCTATGCAGCGAACCGTGGAGTCTTTGTGGGGGATATCAGCTCCTGTTAAGGTTAGTATAGCTGGTTCTAACCTTTTTATCTTTTCTTTTTGGAATGCTACTATAAGGGATTGGGTGTTGGAGAGTAGCCCTTGGCACATCCAAAATAAGCCTTTAGTTCTTCGGAATCTGGGGTTTGATTTATCGAAAATGCTGATATAGGTACCACTATTTCATGTACCGCTAGAATTGTATTCTAAACAGGGATTGAGATATGTAGCTAGTGCTCTGGGTGTTCCGTTATATATGGATTCGATTATTGCGGCAAATGAACGTTTAGAGTTTGCAAAAGTATGTGTGGAAATTAGGGTTGGAGATACCATTCTTGATGTTGTGCAGGTGATTTTGAAGGATGGTTCCTCAGTGTCTATCAGAGTTGTTGTTCCCTGGTTGCCTTTGTGCTGCTCACATTGTAAGCTTATTGGCCATAATGATAAGATATGTGTGGATAAGCCAGTGAAGCAGCAAGTGTCTGGTAATGGGGTTTGGAAGATGAAGGAGCCTGTTGTTGATGTCTCTTCTGGGGTGGAGGTATGTGAGACCTCGGGGTTAAGGATATTGAGCCTAATAGTGTTTCACCTAGTGGTTAGGCTTTAGAAAATACTGTTGGGCAGTATGTAGTGCAGGAAGTTGTTAAATCTGTGTCCTAATGAATCTGGGGAGTCTGTTGCTGTATAGCAAATTCCTAATGAATCTGGAGAGTCTGTTGTTGTGCAAAATATTGTTGAACCCGTGTGTCCTAATGAATCTGAGGAGTCTGTTGCTGTGCATCAGGTTGAGGTTGTTATTTCTACTCTTCCTGATATTGGTGTTTTTGGGGGACATGTTGGGCTTGGTGTTAATGAATTGCCTCAGGCGGTTTCGGGCGATGTTGAGGACTTGGTCAGTAAGGGTGATATAATGGAGTGGTTTGTGGCTTTGCAACAAGATGCTAAGTGTGGCACAAATTTTCCTTCGTTACAAGCGTTTATGTTGAAAAAGAAGAAAGTCGGGGGTAAGGCCAAGGATAAGAAGCCTCTTAGGGGGTCTTCTAGCAGGTTTGAGGAGTTTTTAATGTTGCAGATAGTCCTTGGAAGGTTTGTGCAGCTTCCTTGGGAGATTTTGCCTTGTTGAACGACTTAAAGGCCAAGAAGAAAGATCATATTGATAAGGTCCAAGAAGCAAATGATGTTAGTGTTCTGATTGAGGGAGGTTCGGTTACATCTCCTTTATGTTAGTATGTTTTTGGAATGTAAGGGGGTTCAATAACCCCCTTAAGTAGGATAGGGTGATGAGTAGGATGAATAAATTGAAGGTGGATGTCGTTTGTCTAATGGAGTACAGGGCTAGGGCTCTTAATGCAGATGGTTTGGCATCTAGGTTCTTGTCTGAGTGGAGTTGGTTTGGGAATTATGCTTCTGTTGATGGTGGTAGGTTGTTGTATGCACCATTTTTTACCCGAGGAATAAAAATCAAGTTTCGTACTTTAAAGAAATGTTAGGAGTCGCCACCAATCTGTTTAAGGTGTTATTGGAACACCAAAAAGTTTAAGGGCTACAAAAACCATAATTGGGTTCAGGGGCACAATTACGTGTGAGGAAGGGTTAACAATCTCACCACGCTCGTAAAAACGACACTTGATCACAAATATTTATATCGACTCATGTATGCAATTGATGTATTTTTAGATTAATAAAGAAATTTTAAATTTTCAAGAATAACTTCAAATTCTCTAACGATTAAGAGAATAAGAATTATGATCGAAACCCCTAAAAATTCATAAATTAATCTGTGAAAATTTCGATGGCAAAGTCTTTCGTAAGTGATTTCAAGCATTCTCCAACGTTTAGAAGAATATTGAAATTTAATCTCATTCAAGAAGACACCTCAATTTTTATGAATTGTGATATAACTTGGAACTCTTTAGAACATTTCAAAATTTTCTAACGTCTAAGAAAATTAGAAATATTCCTCAAAGTCTGAAAGTTCTCATGATATTGTTTATATGGGAAAAAAAAAATCAAAGGTATCTTCTCTCGTTAAATAACTTTGAAATCCTCCAACGTTTAGAAAGATATTGAAAGTCCAATTAATTTGAGAACATACACTCTTTGAAAATATGGTGAAGTTATTAAAACATGTCTCAAGCCTTTTAGAATGATTACGAAATTAAAAATTTGATTGATTTGAAATAACTTAACTTACTCAACATCTGCGACCATGGTTGTGAAAAATGTAAATAATATATAATAAATAATTCTAAATAAATATAAGAAATTAATTAAAGAAAAACATACATATATATGTACCTTAATACATACGATGAACATTCCTAACAAACCATGAAATAAGCTTACCATATATATATATATATATATATACACACACGTATATTTATATATTTTACCACCAAACACTAAAACAATATATATTCCTAAATCATGTATAACAAGCAACTTGTAAATAACTTAGGTAATATAATATAAGGCAAATATATATACCTATACAAGGGGAAAAAATCAACAACTTTAAAAACCACATCAATGGTAAACAAGTAAAAAATTATTTCAAAAAAATAATAAAACTTCCTATGTACAAAGCAGCACAAGATTGAAGGGAACATAGAAAGGGGGCTGAAATGAAACACATTAAAATTACAAGTCAAATATAAAATAAATGAAAACTAAAGCAAAACTAGCAATCCGTAACCAAAATGATATGCGCATAAAATAAAGGGTTCAAACATACAATTTACCTTCCTTGAATCTTAACAATAAAAATAAAATTAAAAGGGAAAATTTACATTAACAGACACTACCACTCAAAGAACACTAAAAATGACGTTATCTAGTGATCATAATGCAAAAGCACTGAAAAGTTAAGAGGACCTGAGCAAGAATAAACCAAAAGATAACACTAAACACGAATAGGGGAAATAGCACAATGAGGACATAAATTCAAAACTAAAACAAAATAGCACCAGCTAGTGACCAAAATATAAAAATTCGACATAAGTACAGTGTCCTAAGCAAAAATAATCCTTTTTTAACATACTAAAAGTGAAATAAAAGGGAGAAATACCCCATTTAGTACCCCAGATTCAACGTAATACCTAATAGATCATGGATATTAATGACCAAAACAAGAATCACACATAAAGCAATGACCAAAAGATGATTTTTCCTTGAAATGTTATTATAAAGCATTTTTTTCTCATCAATTTGTGTAACCTGTAACCTAATTTTCACCAAATTAGCCGCCTAACACCCTCCTT